AGTTCATTCTGCCCTGTATCTTTAAGTAATTATATTTCAATCGAGAATTATGTGGGAAATTATTTTCCGACACACAAGGTTCTTGTCTGTATGTGGGTAAGAGTGAAATGGCATTACTTTATACATAGGTAAATCGGTAATTAAGTTACAAGTGGATATAGAACTGATTTGAAAAATTCTTTTATTTCTCAACATAATCTACCTGTACATTGAGGCACTTGTCCCATCGTTTCACAGGCCCCTGAAAACTAGCAGCATAAAATTCTTTGGGCTGCTGTCAGAGCCAGGTAGTGACTTCCCTCTCTACAGCTTCATCGTCAGGAAAGTGTTCGGCCAAAATATGAGGTTCAAGAGGGCCGGACAAATGGAAGTCGCTTGCAGCAAGGTCAGGGCTCTATGTATGATGCTCGAGGACTTCCCACTTGAAATTTTGCAGCATCTCATTTGTCTTGTTGGCAGTGTGGGGACGTGCGTTGTCATGCAAGAGCAACCTGCCTTTGGTAAGGAGTCCTGATCGCTTCCATTGAATGACCTTACAAAGTTTCCTGAGAATGTTACAGTAGGAGTCAGCATTTACGGTTTGTCGTTGAGGCTGGAATGAGGTGAGCAGTATGCCTTTGTGATCCCAGAAGACTGTGAGCATCACTTTCCTGGAGGATGGTGTCACCTTAAACTTTCTTTGGCAGACGACGCAGGATGTTTCCACTGCATTGACGCACGCTTTGTCTCAGGCTGGTATTGGTGAACCCAAGACTCATCACTAGGGACCGGATTTCAATGCAATTGCATATTTCTTTCTTGCAACCAGAAAATATGCTCATTTGGATATATGTATGAATTACTCCATTTCTTAAATTTTGGTCATGGTTTGATGGGGCATATAAATGCATATTTTGCCTGTTTTATGAATAAGCATCATATTTTCTAAGATCTCTATTTATACTGCATATTTCCTTTTTAAAATGTATATCGTATATATTTTTTAATGTTATGTTCAAATTTTTAATCATGGTCATGTGTCTACAATTTTCCTTTTACGTATTGGAATATGTTGCATATTTGACTCAACATTTCATCATGATTCATGTTTCTGATGCAATACCCAAGACGGGACTTCCCCGAGTCCTCTACTCGTAACTTGCCTCATCCGCGTACCATCAAAGTGGCCACGAAGAGACTAGTCGGAAGTGTTCACGTGTAGCCGCTATCAACGTAATACTATTCAACCGATAAGGGACTTCACATATTTATTTCCGAAGTCTCCATGAGCGTGTGAGAAAACGGTTGCGAAAAACGCTTTCAAGTGCTTCAGCATTTGAACACTAATATACACAAAAATAATATTAAAATTAAATCCACGAAAAATGCTCCTGTTCAAAAATTGCTTAGTGAATTTTCTAATAATAGTTTTTCACAATTTTCCTTTGATTTATGCAAAGCCTTCTTAGCGGCAGATATTCCGCTGTGGAAACTAACCAATCCTACTCTGAGAAACTTCATAGAGAAGTATACACAGAGCAAAGTGCCGGATGAATCTACTGTGCACAAAAATTACGTGAAGCAGTGTTACGATCTTACAATTGAAAACATTAGAGATAAGATTCAAGATAATTTTGTGTGGGTATCAATCGACGAAACACAAGATTGTGAAGGACGGTTTATTGCAAATTGTACAGTTGGATCCCTTAATAACAATGAACGATCTACCCCATATCTTCTTGCGGTAGAGCAATTTGAAAGCACAAATAGCTCCGCAGTTTCCGAATTTTTTATCAATTCCATGAATTTACTATGGCCGAATGGCATTCAGTATGAGCACGTATTGCCCTTTGTGACTGATGCCGCAAGTTATATGATGAAAGCCAGTACTGCTCTTAAAGTTATATTTTCAAATATGACACATTTGACTTTCCTTGTCCATGGGTTGCACCCTGTTGCAGAAACAATTTGTGCAAATTTTCCGCTTGTTGACAAGTTGGTGTCTTCTGTGAAGAAGGTATTTGTTAAAGCACCATACAGAAAAGAAGCCTTTAAAGCAGTAGCACCGAGCATTCCACTTCTGCCAGAACGAATTTTAATGCGCTGGGCCACGTGGCTGTGTGCAGCGAGTTATTATGCCGACCATTTAGAAACAGTTAGGAATGTCATGAATACATTTGATCCCAAAAGTGCAGCATCAATTCAAATTGCTCAAGATGTAATAAAAAACGCAGAACTAGAAACTAATCTTTCCTATATATCTGCTCACTTCTTTCATTTTTCATCCACCATTTCCTCACTGGAGGCAAGTAATAGCAATACTACTATGTATCAGTCGTTAAGTGTGTTCAAAACCACTGTTTCCAAATTGAATTCGGTTCCTGGAAGAGTTGGTGAAGTAGTAAAGGAAAATACACAGCATTCTTTAAAAAAATCCAGGATATGAACAAATCTGTGAAATTGAAGAAATTTTAGCCAGTAAACATACTGAACTGCCAAGTAACATTGGAGCAAATAGCAGCTTTTGTACATGCACCCCTAAGTTCCTGTGAGGTGGAAAGAAGCTTTTCCCACTATAAGGACATCTTACAAGACAATAGGAGGCGTTTAACTATGGAAAACCTGAAATATTTAGTAATTGTGAACTGCAACAGAAGAGAAGTTGAAAGTTCGGAAAGCTAAATGTGAGTACCATTGGTTTTTCAAATTTGTAATGAAATATGTTGGCTTTGTTGCATGTATAGCTCTTTATTGCAAGTGAATCATTCAGTGGTTACATAAAATGAACTTAAATATTGATTTGTTGGTCTTAAAATAATGTAAAATCAATTTTAATATTTGGTATAAATTTTTATATGCATATTTTATTGCATATTTCGGAAGTTTTTCATGCATAAATGCATACATATTTAAGGGATTATTAAGGCATAAAAATCCGGTCCCTACTCATCACCTGTGACAATTCAGGTTAGCATATTGTGTCCTTCATCATGGTAGCAATTGAGATGCTGTAATGCCAGACCCATTCATTGCATTTTGTGTTGTGCAGCAACCATCGTGCACAGACTTTGTGAAAACCTAACCTGTCATGCATTATGAGGTAGGCCATACCATGTGAACAACCAATAGCAGTGACCATAGTGTCTATAATTACCCTTCTGTCTGCTCGGATTAAGTCTTCAACCCGTTGCACATTCGCCTCTGTGGCAATCTCCGTGGCATTACCTGAGTTCACTCTCCTCTTAATTTCCTCCTGAATCAGGTTTCGATCTGTTATTGTTGTTCCCAAATATCTGATCTTTATGTCATGATTTAGCCCTGCATTTTGGTGACAAGACAGTAACATATACTTAGTTTTCTCTGTGTTTACGAGTACTTCTAGATCAACCCCTTTACTTGCGTCAATTGAAGTTTGTGTGTTTTTCTCTATGGTATCTACATTATCACCCAGTAGATTCACATAATCGGCATAGACCAACAGCTGATGTGTCCCGTTTAATTTCAATCCCACCTGATTTCCCTGGCCCTTCCTAATGGCATATTCTAAAGCAAAGTTGAAAAGGAGTGGCGATAAAGCATCTCCTTGTTTTAAACCATTCTGGATAGGAAATTTATCAGACAAATGTTTACCTACACGGACTTTACTACATGTTTCGTTTAAATACATTTTAATCAACCTAACTAGTTTCATGGGTATCCCAAACTCTATTAGAATGTTGTACATTACTTCCCTCCTAACTGAATCATAGGCTTTCTTGAAGTCTATGAATAACTGATGTACTGTCTCATTGTACTCCCATTTTTCTCCAATATTTGACGAATGCAAAAGATCTGATCTATACAGTAACACAGTACTGAACCTTCAGGTTCCATAAAATGCTGGGAAATTCTTGAGTAGCTGCAGAATTGGCGGCTCCTCAAGAAGGGCTCAGCTCCATGACTAACTAAGTAAGTAAATTTGTTATTATGGGTATATTCCTTCAGCCATTGAATTATTTTGGCCATATTATTGTGTTCAGCATTGAACTTATGAACATATATATATGTATATATTAGACTTCCACAATTCATTATATTCATTCAGTTATTTTATTATTTTGGCCACATTATTATGTTTAGTATTGAATTTGGAAACATGAGCATATTTCAGTTCATGAAGTTTGTCAGTGTTCTGCAATTATTCTATTGCTTTTCATATATTATTTAATGCAATCTTAATCTTGTTAACAAGAGTGTATATCAGATTCTCGAGTTTCATTATACTACTGAAATTAATAACAAATGAAAACCTCAGTATTATTACTCCCTATACATGATTTATAACACATCAGTGTAACTGAAAAGCTATGTTCTGTGTAGCTTCCAAGTGTAAGTTGTAACCAAAGTTATGTAGTTTAATACAAGTATCTCTGATGGAAGCAGAATTTTCTTTCAAGTTTACACACCATCAGCTTTCATAAACACAAGTCTTCTATGTATATTATAGTTCAAATGTCCACTGCATTTCAGTAAGGGCATTTTGAAGTGATGCACATGAAATGTTCATACTTTACAGGAACTGGTGAGAAACTTTCTCCTGATAAATAATATTTCAACCTGATCTTTTGTACTGCAGAGGCTCTTACTCTTGTGTGTTTCTGTTTTCGAACTGAGTTTGATATCACTTAGCTCATGCCCCTCCAGAAGGTCTTGAATGAAGTCATATTAAACTCAGTTTGAAAACGAAAAACACTCAATGGGGTAAGAACTTCTCCAGTACAAGAGGCCAGGGTTGCAAATTATTTGTAACTATTCATGTGAATTAGTGGTTCTTTGGGAGACAGCAGTACACAAAGGCTAGTGGTATGATAGCATACTTTCTTACCGACAGGACAAGTGGTATGATAGCATACCCTCTTACCGATCTAGCTATCGGCACCGGCGGAAGCCATTCTGTATCAGTAGAGTTGCTTCCAGGCACTGCGGCAGCAGTGATGCTTTCATGACGTCACGGTGTCTATGTTGATAGACAATAGCATTGATAGCATTGAGAGGCATTGAGTTAGCCTTCTGTTCTGTGATTACGATTGTGCAGGTGTAGAAGATAGAGGATCAGTCGCGCCAGACGTATGCCGTACGTATTTATGGTATAGTGCTTAATTAACTGAGAACAAGGCTTCACTTTCACCTGAGGAAATTTTAGTGTGGATAATCCACACGGTATTGATCAAAACTTTAATGTATAAAGATACTTGCCATTGTTCAGATTGCAATTGATTGCTCTTAAATTTTAAAGTAAGATTGAATTTAATTAGTACACAGTTTTGTGTTTGAACCAGGAGTTCTTATGAGAAGATCATAATAAAGTTGAAGAAAGCAGTCTTCTGGGATTTGGCACCGTGTATATGTGGTGTTAACCGACGTTTCGGAGGAACGTATCGCCTCCATCTTCAGCGTAGAAGAAAAAATATAAGAATTCTGCAAGCGAAGAGACCGTGAGAACCGGTAAAAGCAGTCTGCTGAANTTGAATGGGAGGACATTTTATAGCCCTTTGTCAATGAAGTCAAGCTGCTTAATATGTTTTCAAAAGTGTATGAACAAATATATATTTGTTTTATTGCCCAGAAAACAGCAGAACGTTGTAGTAGTAATGGTCTGGACATAATTACAGTCTTCTGGGATACAGTGCCCTGAGTGTTGTAGACAAGCACCATCATTTTGAAGAAACTTACTGCCTCCATCTTCAGGGTAGACCTGAGGTAGATCGTCACATTCTTCTGCCCTGAAAGAAGGGGTAGCAGGTTCCTTCCAAGAATATGTACACATCTACCAGACTACACTGCCTTACATCATTCAAAAGTGCATGACACTCACCACCAGGATTCCTTCTGATCTCAATGTCTGTGCTTAAGAGGTTTCACAGTGAGAATATTCATATTGTGATCTTCCTGATCTCCCCCCCCCTCTCTCTCTCTTTGTTCTGTTTTTAGAGGGGGCTACTTACAGTGATGTAAGTGTGCAGTCCATATAGCTTGAAATCAAAGAATGAATGATGGATTGGAAAGGATTTTAAAGCAAGAGGTTGTGGCCAAATTAAGGTACTGTTCTGGCATTTACCTGGAAGAATGGAAGAAAACCATATGAAATCTCAGGATGCTGGTGTCCTGGATGATATACAAACCAAGCACCTCCCAAATACAAGTCTAGAGAGCTACTGCTACACCAACCTTCTTCTTGTATTGGATTATTTAGAGTTTTGGCGCCAAGTAGTCTGGTGGGTGGGATCAGTGTTTGAGAGGACCATAACTGTTTCCACTCAGTACTAAAGTAGAGCCCTCATGGAGAAGAAATGTTGCTACCACCACTTACCAAATGACATGTCATAATCCAGAAGTATGTGTTTGATATACTTGGATAAAATGTTGGCTGAATGAATGCCATGGTATTCCTCAGTGTCTGCAATGAATGACAGGATAATACCTTCCGTTAGGACATGGCCACCTACTTCCAAATCCTTACTTAGCATTCATAGTCATACCCATATCATGTGACACTTCAAATCAGTAAGGACCACAGTCTAGAAGCTAATGCATGCTATGCATTGCAAAATATAAAACACATTGTATCATTTGCAATGTTAAGGCCAATCTACTTTGCTTACGTACACACCATCATGAGTTGTGGTATAATCTTCTGGGGTGGCTCCTCACATGCCAGGAAAGTGTTTATCTTGCAAAAGAAAATTATTAGTATCGTAATGAACACTAAACCTAGAGATTCTAGCAGGGATATTTTCAAGAAATTCGAAATTATGACATTATATTCTCAGTATATATACTCACTACTTATATATATAATTCATAATAAACATTTATTTAACTGTAATAACGAGATTCATGAATATACAACTAGATCCCGAGGTAATTTACATGTACCTAGTGTGAACACTTCAAAATTTAATAAAGGAGCCTATATAACAGGTATTAAAGTGTTCAGTCATCTTCCATGATCAATGAAGATTTTGGTCAATGACGAGAAAAGCTTTAAATTTACATTAAAGAGATTTTTATGTCATCATTTTTTATTTTTACTCTATAAACGAATACTTTCAATATAAAGAAGACAAAGGTTTGTAATCCAGATATTCTCTTGAATTGTTTGTTAGGTTGATTATACACAGGATGTAATACACACTGACTAGTGGCTCGGCATTTAAGGGTATAAATTTTGTGGTGTATGGTATTGTAATAGACCATCTGTTTTAAATAACATGACTGTACAATTAAGATGGTTATGAATGGTTTACTCACTGCTCATTTTCTTTTATCCTGTAGAGGAATATGTTAATAAATAGTTTTCAAATTTTAAGGTTCTTGCTATGAAATGACTGGCTGTACTCGTATATGCTGAATTTTTATTGTATATTGTAATTTTTAAATCCTTATGAAATGTACTACAGGGCTACTATGAATGATTCATTCGTTTTTAAAACGCTATATTTTCCAAAGTATTACACATACAGATATGATTAATATATAAAAAGAACCATAATCTCACCAAGTTTATATTATATGCACCAGTTGGCATCACGAGTTCAGTGCCTTTACAAAATAGCGACAAAGCAAGAAAAGAGTTTTTGTTTGTTGGAATATGCGAGATGTTCGTATGTTATAGCAGTGCAACGCGCATTCAAACGAGAGTACAGAAAAGAACTGCCATGTAAACAGAGCATTTTGCAGTGGTATCAGCAATTTAAGGACTCACTGGATTGGGCGTGTTGGTGAGGATGACGTAGCTCTGTTCACTTGGCCCCCCAGATCACCTGATCTAATGCCTTGTGACTTCTTCCACTGGGGGTACATTAAGGATCGTGTTTACGTACCCCCACTGCCAAGAACACTAGTAGAGCTGAGGGAACGCAATGATGCTGCAGTGATGACCATTGACAGGATGATGCTACAAAATGTGTGGAATGAGCTCGACTACCGCCTGGACATGTGTCGTGTGACCCAAGGGGCACACATAGAACATTTGTAGAGTATGAAGAACACTTGGTGAGTTTACAGTTCTTTTTATATATCAATCATGTTTCTAGGTATAATGCTTTGGAAAATATAGCATTTTAAAAACGAATGAATCATTTATAGTAGCCAGGTATATTTGGACTGTTAAATTAAATATTTGTAGTTATGTGATCAGAATAATTGCATCAAACTTATATATTATGAATAGGTCTTTTTTATTGATTTATGATGGTGACAACGATAATCATATATCTGCATAAATTTTATCATATTTGAATATTTTATGTACAAATTTTCTATTGTGACTGTATTGCATGTTGATGGGCTCATTGTTTTTATGTATGTGTTTATGTATTTGTACATGTTCTATATCCTATGGCATGCGTGACCTGAAAAAGATCTATGGAATTTAAAATAAAGTAAAAGTGGAAATGAAAGTGAAAGTGAAACTGTTCATGCCCCATGACCAGATGTAATGGAAGATCATTGCATAAAAATAGCAAATGAATTCTCAGGATGTTATATTTTAGCGTCCTGTTGCACTGATTTAAGTCCATGATTTATTTCACCGTATTTTAGTGCATACACTTATCCACCCCACTCCCCTCTCCCGCACTACATGTTTCGGCACAAAAGTGCCATCTTCGGGTGCTTATTCGATTAACGTTAAACTAGTTCACTGCATGCCTTGTCTTCATATTAAAATATTTCAAATATATATTTATCATATATACTGATAAATATTAAAATTATTAAAATTGTTCAGGATTTTTCCTATGTCGTATCTCACTTCTCGAGTCACCTCTAATCTCTTCTGTCGGAGCACTCTTTCTATTATCATGTGTGTATTGTGCTTTGTGTTGTGTCTTGCTCCTATGACTCCGTGTGTTATACACACGTATATAACACACGCAGTCACAGGAGCAAGCAGCTGCAACAGCTCTTGGAGGGGATTGACAATTCCTGTTCCCCAGGCCTATCACCCTCCTGTGATGCACCATTCCCCGCTTTTGGATGGGATTGACAACTGCCCACCATGACTACCACCCTCTTGTGATGCACCATTCCCTGCTTCCCTTCCTCTCATCTTGTTGCAGGTTACAGATCCAGTTTCCAATATGCTGTGTTCTTTAGAATAGCAGATGATGTACGAAGTCCAAAAATCTAGTAATCCCTGGTGTTATACACCATTACCAGAACCTTTTAGAATCTCCTGGCATAGTAAACGTTACAACATTGCTAAGTACTATGCAAAAGAACTGTAGTGTGAGTGCAAATTGTGAAATCCCTAGTGTTAAGCACCATTATCAGAACCCTTCTGAATCTCCTGGCAAAGTAAACGTTACAACATTGCTCAGTACTATGCAAAAGAACTATAGTGTGAGTGCAAATTGTGAAATCAATTAAAATACTGGATGATCTTTGTCTGAGAAATAGCTGTGAAAGGAAGTGAGTCAAGATGAGAAGATATACTTGAGCCAAACTTACTTAAATGCCTCAAAAAGCTGTTTTTGCAAAGTTTATGTTTTTTGCCTGGAATAATTGTGAAACCAGAGATCTTGAATTGGAATACTATAGTTGATTTGCCACATTGTTTGCTCTGCAGCAAGAATGAAAATATTAATGCAGAGTGGCTTTAGCAGTGTGATGTTTTATCAGCACTGGAAGATCATCATCATCATCAGTAATCTGTCAATACGACAGGTCCACAGTCTCTTCCAAAACAGTTCATCCACTTAATGCGATCTAGAGCTTTCTCCTTCAAATGACAGTATCCTCTTCTGTCCCCAAGGTCATCCAGCATCTTCTTACATCTTCTTCCTCGTCTTCTTGTCACTTCATCCGCCCATCTATCTTTCCTTCGATAACTTCTTTTAGAAGGCAGTTTCTGCGTAAAACATGACCAATCCAATTAGCCTTCCGTTTTCTTATTTCATGTAGGATATTCCTCTGCTCACTGACTCTAATTAACACTTCTTCATTTCTCACATAATCGGTCCAACTGATCTTCTCCATCCTTCTCCAACACCACATTTCGAAACTTTCCAGATGTTTCTCATCTACTGCCCTAAGTGTCCATGTTTCAGCCCCATACAGAGCTATGCTCCAAATGTAGCATTTCACTAGTTTCTTCCTCAAATTTAAGTCCAATTTGCTGGTAAAAA